CCAGGCTCAGGTCAGCCACTCAGTCTCTGGGCTCACTGTTCCACTCAGCCAGTCAGGCTCTGTGTGTATACAGCTCAAATCACGCTGTGGGCGAGCCAGCTGCTGCTTGAGAGTTCCTTCCAAATCAGCTGCCCACCATTGTTAACAAACACACAGCTTTTCACACAGCCCAACTTTCCAACCAGTCTGGAGACTATCCGAGTCTGGGTCCTACACAGCCCAACTCCTCCCTTTTCCAAATGTTGTCTGGCACCTCAATTTCTCTGGTGCCAGCGTCCACAGTCCCAGCAGATGTATACCGCCTCTGTGTGTCTCCCATTTCATCTCTATTCCCCCCCCCCCCGCCCCCAGCAACTTCAAACATCCAGGTCCCTTGTGGTGCCAGGCTGCCCCGCCTGCTCTGGTAGGGGAGGGAGTTGGTGATCTAACTCTCCTCCCCATATCCTGTGGCAGGCCTGGGCCAGGGGCTGCAGTGGCCTAGGTCCCTTCTCAGATCCCAGGGACTTTATCATCCCAATGCAGTCTCTTCACCTTCTGTATTTCAATGTCCTCTGCAATTTTTGGCCTCCAAACTTCACATAAGCTGGGATTCTATTGGCTGTTCCCTCTGTTCTCAGAAGATCGGCCAGGTGTTCCAGCTGGGCACAGGGAGAACTGGGCTCCTCTCCCACCTACATCGCTCCCATCTTCTCCCCCCATTGGTATATTTTAAAAGAATTAAACCATCCTCCACTTAAAAATTCCAATTCAAAAAAAATATGATACTACCTGTGGAGAGTACTGATGTCTTCGTTATATACTATGATTTTTTTTCAGTGAATAGTTTCTTGGGTAGTTAGTTCCCAGTGTTTATGATATGCTTCACACTACAATAGTTTTAATTCTAACTTTTGAAATATTTCACTTCAACCATATATTACTTGCAACACAACTAGGGGTTTAAAAGTAACAAAATAGTATATGTTCATGGTTTATCTCTAAAATTGCCTTAATTAACAACTGATACAATGTTTCTCTATGAATACATAAGATTATCATTATTCAACTTCAAATACTGAGTAACACAACACATATCTTTGAAATTATATTTGAGACTTAGAAAAACAAATGTAAATTCATGAGTTCTCTCAAGCAAGCAATGTTACAGAAAGTGTTGCCTGAGCCCAGCAATGAGACACAATTTGCTCACCTGTGTTTTAGTGCTAAGATACATCTCCTGTGATCCCCTCTCTCAGTTCCCCCTAATCTCACTGGGTGAATTGCTGATTTTGCCAAACGAGCTGAAATATTAACTTATTTGAATGCAAGTTTAGCAATGACATTTTAAATTTTAAAAATTAAAGTAGATGTTTCCAACTGACATACAAGAAACCAAACAAAGTCATCACAAATTGCAAATATGATATCAGGTCAAGAATTATGTGTAAAGTAAATGTTTATAACTATTACCAAATAATTTGAGGATTAGAAAGTTCCTTCCATTTCAATTTTAAATACCTGATGCTTAATTTTCCTTCATACTCTTTCTCTAGATTTGAAAAACTTCTAAAATGAGGTTTTACTAACCAAGGCACCTAATTCTCCTTATATAAAATAACTCTTTCCCTCATATTATCTTTCCTGGTATTAGCTCTACCAAAGTTTTATATTTTCCTCAATGTAGTTTTGCTATGTGTTCTTGGTTGCTATTTTTTGTTAAATATGCTTATGGAACACACACATACACACAAATATTTGGAAGAATCTGGATCTTTTTAGATTGAATATATTTAAAGTAAAGAGCAAAATGAAGGAAGTCATGAAAAGACAATAAAAGAATCTTTGAAATTTAGAAATATTAAGTAATAATATATAGTATTCACTATACTTAGTCATTGTACATTAAAAAGTATATATTGTAATATACTAACAATACAGGGTGAGGAAAAATGGATTTACAGTTATGATTATGCAAAACACAGAATTTATTCTTATTTATTATTTTATTATTTTCTATTTGAAAAATTGTAAATTTACTTTTTTCCCCACTCTTTATACATTACATATACATGCTATATTGTCTATACATTGTATACATATAATATATACTAAGTAACTATATATTGTTTTGTGTGTGTATGTGTGTGTGTGTTTTCCTAATAAAGTCTAGCTGTCCTTCTTTTCTTATGTAACAATAGCTGTTTTTTGTACTTCAGGTTATTTCAGTAAAAGGTCTTTTTTTAATTTAATACTTTTTACTTTTAAATTAGTTGATGTACAGTGTTATATCAGTTTTAGGTGTACAAGCTTGTGATTAGATATTTATAAAACCTATGAAGTAATCACCCAGATAAATCTAGTACCCATCTGAAATGATACATAGTTATTATATTACTATGTTTCCTATACTATACTTTACATCCCCATGACTATTGTGTAACTACCAATTTGTAACTCTTAATCCCTTCCCCTTTTTCTCTCAGCCCCCAACACTCTTCCTTTTGCTCAAATGTCAAAATGTTCTCTGTAACTATGAATCTGTTTCTGGCCTGCTTCATTTATTTTGTTTTTTCAGATTCCACATATAAGTGAGATCATATGGCATTTCTCTTTCTCTGTGTGACTTATTACACTCAGCACAGTAACCTCTAGGTCCACCCGTGTTGTTTCAGTCTACATAATCTTTTAAAAAGATATTTTATATTAGCACTTTCCTCTTAGTGATAACAGGGTAGCAATTATATCTCAAGTAGGCAATAAATAAAGATTCAGTGATTAGCTAACTGAACAGCTGGTTAAATGTCAGTGGCTACTAAGATTGTATTTTTTATTAATAGTGAATATTTGCTTTCTGTCACTGGACTCTTTTCAGACTTTTACATTGGTAAATTTAATCTCCAGATTAATTATACACTATGCTATAATACCTTATCTTCCCAAGAGATGATGCACTCCCCTAGTACTTTAAATGATACTATATTCTTTAAGAATTAAAAAAATTGAAGTATATAGCCCTGGCTGGCATAGCTCAGTGGATTGAGCGTGGGCTGTGAACCAAAGCATCACAGGTTCGATTCCCAGTCAGGGCACATGCCTGGGTTGCAGGCCGTGGACCCCAGCAACCGCCCATTGATGTTTCTCTCTCTCTTTCTCCCTCCCTTCCCTCTCTAAAAATAAATAAATAAAATCTTTAAAAAATCTTTAAAAGATTGAAGTATAGATTGACACCAAAAAACACAGGCAACAGAGATAAGTTGGACTTCACCTAAATTTAAAACTTTTGTACATCTAAGGACACTATAAATAAGATGAAAAGGCAACCTACAGAATGGGAGAAAATATTTGCAAATCCTATATCTGACAAGTGATTAATATCCATAATATATGAAGAGCTATGATGGAGCAACAGCAACAAAAAAAAAACAAGCAATCTAATTTAAAAATGGGCAAAGGACTTGAGTAGACATTTCTCCAAATAAAAGATTCAGATGGCCAATAAGCACATGAAAAGATGCTCAACATTAATCATTAGGGAAATGGAAATGAAAACAACAGTGAAATACCACTTTACATTCATTGGAATGGCTATTTTAAAAAATTAAACAAAGGACATCACAAGTGTTGCCAAAGATGAGGAGAAATTGGAGCCTTCAGACATTGCTGTTTGGAATGTAAACTAATACAGATACTATAGAAAACTATATGGCAGTTCCTCAGGAAAATTTTAAACATAGTTTTATATAACCCAGCAATTTCACTTATGAGAAAATACACAAAAGAATTGAAATCAGAGACTCGACCAGATAATTTATTTAAAAAATGTTTTATTGATTTATTGCTTTGACAGAGAGAGAAAGGTATGGAGAGAGAGGGAGAAAGAGAGAGAGAGACTGGGAAAGAGAGAGAGAGAGAGACATCAATTTGTTGTTGCATTGATTTGTGTATTCACTGGTTGCTTCTTGTGTGTACCCTGACCAAGGATCAAACCTGCAACATTGATATGTGGGGACAGTGTTCCAACTAACTGAGCTAACTGGCCAGGGCACCTCAACCAGATGTTTCTACACCCATGTTCATAATAGTGTTAATCACAGTATTCAAAAGGTAGAAACAACCCAAGTGCCTATCAATAGGTACATGGATAAATAAAATGTGGTATTTACATACAATAGAATATTATTTAGCCTTGAAAATAAAAGAGATTCTGACATATCTTATACCATAGATGAACTTTGAAAATGTTTTGCTAAGTGAGATAAACCAGACATAAAAGTGGAATTATATAATTATATTTATGGAGTACACAGAACAGTCAAATTTAGAAACAGAAGGTAAAGTGATGGTTACCAGGGTTTAGGGGAACATATTGTTAGTATGCAGAGTTTCCGGCTGGGATGATGAGAACGTTCTGAAGATGGATGGTGGTGATGGCTGCATGATACTGTGCGTGTTCTTAGTGCCACAGAGCTGTGCATTTAAGAATCTTTGAAATAGTAAATGTTATGTTGTGTATATTTCACAATTCAAGCAATCATAAAAATTTTAAGAAGACAAAGATCTATCAAAATTCTCTTTTGACTATTAGAATAACATATAATACTGATAAAGAATAAAAATATGCTCTTACATAATGTCAATTTATTAATGGTGAAGGATAAGGATAAGTTCTAATTTTTTTTGATAATTACAACTATTTAAATAGAAACTATTCATTTCCTGAAAAAAATATATTTCTTTAACTCTCTAAAATTTTAGCTATTTCAAAACATGACTTTCTGCCACATTATTATAGATGCTAAGGGAGAAATATTTCTGGAACCATTCAGTGACCTGTTTGTTCTGTCTAGATACTTTAACCAAATGTGTCACATTGCAGTTTGATCTCATTTCTTTGGATTTGTTGTATTTGGTTTCTTAAAGAAGCTTTTATTTCTAAAATATTTTTAAAATGTGGTAATTAAACCATCTATAATGAAGCAGTCTTCTTTTTATATTTACACAAACTTTCATTTTCTTCACAGGGCAGAAAACAATAACTGGAGAAGTGCCAAAATGAATTCCTGAGCCTGAAGTTGTTCCATCAGGAGCTTCGGCTGGATTGCAGTCACAGTGGATTGGGTAAATCCTAGTGAAGTTACTAAAACAACCAACAATCTGCTCCCAGTCAACACTCCCACCTCGGTAGGGAGCTGTGTTTGTTTATTGGTCACATTTATTTAAGGTATAGGTTTAGCTTTCTGTGACCAATCTGTTTTATATTCAATTGTATCTTGCCCTCTTGATGTGCCATTTACTTAATAATAGAGTTGTGAAATTTAAATATATGTATTTGTATTTTTATGTTTCTTTTCAGAATTCTCAATTACAAAATATATCTATTAGAATGAGTAAATAAAATAAATAAACTATAATGATAAATACAGTACTTTTAGGATATAGTTTCCGTCTGGTCAAAGGTTTGTATTATCCAAAAACTAAAATAAGTGTTCCATGCAGAACTGGAGATCAAGTATTTTTCTGTACTTATCTAATTCCTCATTCCCTAAGTAATTACATTAAGTTAAAATTTACACAAAGAAAAAGCATAGTGAAATTAATATCTTTTACAGGTAACTTCATATTTTGATTTGTAAATGAGAATATAGAACATCTCATAAATTTATCTTTTAGCAAGGAGATAATTCAATTAATACATGGGTTATCAGCACCAGATTTTCTTACCCTAAATTGTTCTTTTACCATCATTTTCTAAACTCAACAAAAATTGACTTAAGAAAGTAGAACTAACTAGCCAAAATTTGTGAAAAATAAGTTCAATGATTCAGACAGAGGTAGAATAGTGTCATCTTTGCTTCCTGTCTTCAAATTTATCTAATATGTTCAAGAGTTTGCCTGGCACCTGAGATTTGAACAGAACTTTGAGACACAGAGACAGAGACACATCATAGAGACACAGAGACAGAGACTGGTTGGGGACAGAGCTGGACACTTATTGCCTTGGCACTGTGGATGTCAGCTGTTATGCTTAATGCTACATTATTAAGAAAAATCACCGATATTTTTTATAGACTTAGGAAAGTTAGGTTGTCTAAGGGGGTATCACAAAATTAACTGACAACTATTAAAATTTAATCTTTCATTCATCCAGGCACTGAACAAGGCATTGAGGATAACAAAGTGCATAGCCACATCAAGGCACCACCTATACACAGCTCTCCAGGGGCTTCCAACTCTGTGAATGTTGGCCTGAGGCTTACCCTGAGCTCATCTCCCTTGCATATCCCCTCATTTCATATCCTTGTGTTTGCCTAACCCACTGGGCTCGATGCCCTTCCTCATAAATGCTAAACACACTTCCCTTCAAGATATTTGCATTGCTATTTCCTTGGCTAGAAGATTTACTCCCAGATATTAACCGTACTTCACTCATATCTCTGCTCAAATACTATCTCTTCACTCAGGCCTCTGGCAACAACTGGGTATATGTGGAGACTTCTCATTCCAACACAGATGTTATCCTTCAACCAGCTTATTTTATATTTATAATATTTATTCATACCTGATATATGATACATCTATTTGTTTTCTAGTTTATTATTTGTCTCCCCAATCAGAATATGATAAAGTCTGTCTGGAAAAAGTGCAGCCATTGTTAATATAACAAGAATGGTTTGCATGACATCGATGTAACCTGGCAGCCAAAGAGAGTAGGCTGGAATGCACATGAGTGAATAATGACAACTTCATGTACTAGTCACTGCAGGTGGTAGACACTGTTGAGTGAGCATGTGTACCGTGTGGCCATCACATTCAAAATGACTGAGCAAGTAGAACAATGAATCTGCATCAAATTTTGCATTAAGCTTGAACATTCTTCTGTGGAAACTATTTGTATGATTAAGAAGGCTTTCAGGGATAATGCAATGGGTACAGCACAAATAAAAGTGTGGCAAAAACACTTCAAAGATAATCAAGAATCTGTTGAAAGTGATCCATGTTCTGGTAGGCCTGCAACAAGCAGAACATCTGAGAATGTTGAACACAAACAGACTGTAATTAACGAAGATTGGCACCTGACAGTGCAAGACTAGAAGCTAACCTGGGGATTCTAAAAACTGGTGTCTGATATTTTGACATAAGATCTTGATATGAAACATGTCCTGGCAAAATTTGTTCTGCAGCTTCTGCTACCCAAATATTGTGTTGCAGTTGCTGATGATGGTTCAAACTACTATCAATTATCCAGATTTCCTTAGGAAGGTCATACCAGAGATGAATTGTGGGTCTACAGTTATGGTCTGGAAATGAAGGCCCAGTAGTCCCAATGGAAGTTGCCTGGTTCTCCATACCTGAAGAAGGTGCAGCAAAGTCACAGCAAGATCAAGACCATGTTAACTGTGTTTTTTGATTGGGAAGGTGTTGCCCATCACAAGGATGTCCCTCCAAACCAAACAATTAATAAGGAGTACTGCAATGATGTTCTTCATTGGTTGAGAGATGCAATACAACAAAAACAGCTTCAGCTATCAGCAACTGGTGATTGGCAGCTTCATCATGACAACACACCTGCTCATGCATCACTTTTCGTGCAGAGTTTTGTGGTAAAACATCAAATCAACCAGGTGACTCAGCCCCCTACAGCTCAGATTTGGTGCTCTGTGACTTCTCGCTTTCCCAAAACTAAAATCACATTTGGAGAAGAGATTTCAGACTGTCAGTGAGATTCAGGAAAATACAATGGGGCAACTGATAGCAACTGAGAGAATTGTGTGAAGTCCCAATTCCCCTACTTTGAAGGGGACCCCAGGGCATGACTATTCTATGTAAAATGTTCCTTGCATCTGTTACCTTCTTCAATAAATGTCTCTCTTTTCATAGTACATGGCTGTATACTTTTTGGATAAACCTCATGTAAGATCAATGAAAGCAAAGACTTTTATTTGGTTTGGTACTGTATTTCCATGGATTTAGAACAGTGCCCAAAACATAGAAGGTAGTTAATAAATATTTGCTTGGGGGAATTAATGTATTAATGCATACTTAATTACTGTGGAGGAGACATATATGTCACAGAACAATTACCACATGGAAGCACAGACTCCAAGTTTTTCTGGGGAGGGGGTCAGAGAAAAGACTTTCTTTCCAGACAAATGACATTTGAGATGGATCTTAAATACAAAAGGATAGGTCCTAGACTGAAAAGGAGGAAGGTGTATTATGTTACAGAAGGGAAAACATGTGCAAAGGCATGAACTTAAAACACTGTTAGGTTCAAGAATAGGTAGAAAGTTTGGTGAGAGTGAAAACAAAGTAAAGCCAAACTATAAAATGTCTCATATACTATGTGTATCAAGTAAAGAAATTAAAACTCATAACAGCAGTAATTTCTCACAGGAAGTTGGCCTCCAGGTATTTTGAGGAGCATTAACACACTATTTATAATGGTGGATCAGTTTCTGAAGACAACAGAAAATGATAATGCCACTCTCCTGAGGACACTTTGCCAGTCCTAGGTCTGAAGCAGAAATGGAAGATTGGCCAGAAACCAGAGAGGGCAACCAGCAAGTGAGGCAGGAGATAATCAGGAAGGAAACTCTAGAGGCCCCACAGGGCGGATATAGAAAACTTCTATACATGACAAAGACCCCCTAAGATGGGTTGTTCCTGTTTTCTGGGATAACTCTGAATCATGGAATGCACCTGTACACTACCCCTGATTCATTATAATGAAATAACATTGTGGGACTCCCTTCTCCAGTAGCCAGTCAAGAAAATCATGGGAAACCACACATGCGCAGTAGCTTTGAAATCCAACTCCTTGTACCTGTGCAGGAAAAGCCCGCCAAAGACTAGCCAGGGAGCTTCTGCCCTATAAGAATAGAATCCCCCCAGCCCATGTGTTCCTTCTCTGCTCAGAGTTGGCCCACTCCCATGTCCTATGGAGTGTACTATCACTTAATAAATCTTCCCTCTTTCTTTATGCTATAAACTTTGTGTGTTTGGTTTAATTCTTTGTCCTCAATCACTAAGAACCTGGTTACCTGTGCACACCTGTGACACAGGCACACAGACAACCCTGGGGACCTGCCCAGTGGAAGCCAGGGAAAGCATGCCCAGATCTTACCTCCCCCAGCTCCTGTCATCTTCACTGCCATCCATTAGCTGAATCTAAATGGCAGTGTAAGATGAAGCATTTTTGCTGATGTCATCCACAGGCTGCCTGGGCCATGGAGCAGGACAGAGAGAAAATTCTGAGAGATAATGAGGAGATATCCTCCAGAGAAGTCTCTTTAGTGGAAAAAAATGCTTCAATGAGCACCTTGAGATGGATTTCTCATCATTAAATACCTGTACAAGAAGTAATGAAAGAAGTTTCATATTGCGCGATGATGCAGACACTGGCCCACAGTGTCTGTGTCATTATGGATGAAATGAGACATTCATACGGACTACCAAGTCTAGTGGAGGAAAAAGGACAGCATGGCTTTTCTCTCAAGGGGAGCAAAAGCCTTGGCCCTTGCCATGACTGAATTTCATCAGGTTTCTCAGCACATTACATGATGGTCCTCATTTACCATGCACGGGTTCGTTCGCTTTAGGTGGTTACCTTGTACAGAAAACAAAGGAGCCAATGCCACTAATCACATCACAGAAAAAGGGATATTTGCAAATGAAAAGGCAAAAGTGGTTGAACCGGTTATACTCATCCTTGGAAGGTTTAGTATGGATTTTAGAAAGTTACTTTGCAGTAAATGTCCTCAATTCAGGGTGAGGGAGTTTTTTAGCAAGACCAAGATTCAAAGCGGCCTAGGCACATTGCAGGCCTGATTACCCACAGGAGAACCTATGCATGGGCGTGGGTCCTGTGCAACTCTGAGTGGGAGCTGGGCCCACACCATGCAGAATGGTCACCTACAACCCCAGAGTGGGAGAGGGAGGAAGAATGTGAAGAGAGGGACAGGCTGAGAAGGGGAGAGAATCTGTGTGTGCTGTAGGCAGTTAGAGCTTTTCCCCAAGGACCACAGGCCTTCAGTAGTGCTGCACATTCCTGAGTAGATCCATGGTTTGTATAATTTAATTATCATTATTGTGTGTGTGTGTGTGTGTGTGTGTGTAGTTTCATAATAAAATCAGGTTTTACATGTATGACAAGTTGGTGCTACCCAGAGACGGCTATTGTACAAATAGAACTGTAGATGCAGAACAGAACCTGAAATTCCCATATATCTTTCAAAGTTATTGCTTTCCACAGGCTATGAAATTGCCCAATATTACCTACATCTTTTGGTTCCAAACAGTTATGAGTTAAATTCTTAAGAAGTGTGATTTTTTTTCTCCAATGGTGAAAATACGGAGGCATTGACGAAAGCCTTGGTGACTGTATGGAAGGTGGGCAGGATGGAAGAGAATGAGGCCAGAGTGACCACTTCAGAAGTTGTGGGGAAAGCTTAGTAAGAAAGATGATGACCTTGCCTATGACAAGTATGGTGAGTCAACTCTGGGAACTTTTTCAATATAATTATTTTACACTTAGGCCATGAATATCACCCTCAATATAATCACTCAAAGCCTATATGAATTCATATATTCTTAGTCCTTAAACTGTTTCACATATCATCTGCCTTTTAACAGCCACTAATCACTTACTTCATTTGTGCATTTTCTGAGGGGTTTTTCTGTCTCTCCTTCAGTTTATTTTAAATAAGGGTATTAATGTCTCTTTTCTCTCCCATGCAATGTGACAGTATGGTTCCTCTAGAGTTCCTATATTTCGCATATACTCTTTATCATCTGTTTATTCCATGAATTAATCATTCTAACTAGGGAATGCTGGTTTCACCTAAAGGCTCTGTTATGTTATATTGGAAAACAGAAAGATGATTTCTTCTATTTTCTTTTTTTGTTACATTTTATTGATTATGCTATTAGAGTTGTCCCAAATTTTTTCTCCCCTGTAGTTCCACTCTGCCCTGCACCTCCCACCTTTCAGCATTACCACCCTCCCCACACCACTTAGTTCATGTCCATACATAAGCTCTTTGGCTTCTCTGTTTTCTATACTATTTTTAGCTGCCCCCTGTCTACTTTATGCCAACCAATTATGCTTCTTATTCCCTGTACCTTCCCCCACAATTCTTCCCCTCCCCTTCCCCATTGATAACCCTCCATGTGATCTCCATTTCTCTAATTTTGTTCTAGTTGTTTGCTTAGTTTTTGTTTTTGTTTTTTAGGTTCAGCTTTTGATAGTTATGAATTTGTTGTCATCTTACTATTCATAGTTTGTGATTTTCTTCTATTTCTTATATAAGTCCCTTTAGCATTTCATATAACAAGGGCTTGGTAATGATGAATTTTAACTTTACCTTATCTGGGAATAACTTCATCTGCCCTTCCATTCAAAATGATAGCTTTGCTGGATTGAGTAATCTTGGATATAAGTCTTTGCTTTTCATGGCTTCAAATACTTCTTTCCAACCCCTTCTTGCCTATAAGTTTTCTTTTGAGAAATCAGCTGATAGTCTTATGGAAATTCCTTTATAGGTAACTCTTTCCTTTCCTCTTGCTGCTTTTAATATTCTCTCTTTATGTTTAGTTTTGGGTATCTTAATTATGATGTACCTTGGTATATTCCTCTTTGGGTTCAATTTCTTTGAGCCTCTCTGGGCTTTCTGGACTTCCTGGAAGTTTAGTTCCTTCACCAGACTGGCAAAGTTTTCCTT